GGGGGGGAATTAATATTTTGTAATAAACAAGTAAGTTTCAGGATAAAAACCTGGTTGGGGGGACATATGGGGTGTTTCTGCTAAAATATGGCGAGGGCCTTAAGCAGTAAATTTCAAAACAAACCCGGGGTCGCCAACCAGTTTTATAACCTTTTTTCCCTTTTTTAGTGATTATAAAATATATTTCAAATTTAACATAAAAAATAAAAACACAAATTTTATTCAAAAAACAGACAAAAGCATGTTTTACATAATACAAAAAAAGCTTTAATACAATATTTCTATAATTTTTCAGTATTAAATAAAGTTGATTAAAATTTAAAACACTTAAAAATGTGGGCGTGCTTCAAAAAATTTACAGAAAAGACAACTAATAATATTTCAATTATTAGAAATGGAGGATTCAAGCAATACAATAACCTAGTGACTTTATAACGCTTAATCAAAATATTGAAATTTAGGAAAAATCCTAAGAATAATAATGCAAAACAGACTGACATAGCATATCCTCGTAACTAACGAGTTTCATATACTTTAACTGTTTTATCGCAATGGCATAATGTTTTCTTTTTTTGTGATAGAAATAAGTAAATAAATAAATAAATAAATAAATCGTTAGCAACATTACAGTTATTTATGATAAGGCAGTTTTTTCAAGTTGTTTTCGCTGCCGCAAAAAAAAAAGATATACAAAAGACATCCAATGTTAGAGGCGGATTGTACAAGGTTACCAAGATTATTCAAGATTAAAGGGTTTATTTTTTTTCCATTGGAAATAATGCCTTTGTGAAAAAAAACTACATTGATATATACAAGGTGCGAAAAAAACTCAACCGCTATATAGCAGTCGAGTTTTTTTCCCTATATGAATCATTGAAAAAACTGAACTGCTATATATCAATACAGTTTGAAGTGTACTTAATATAATGGGTTAGCAAGAACAAAGGAAAAGTTCCAAACCATGCGATAATATGACATTCACATACATCTGAACAATTCATTGCAAAACATTTTTATTTACATTTTCTTTAAGTTTTCTCATCAATGGACTGTAGTTTATCGAGATTTAATACCGTGGAACCAGGCTTAAATTAAATCATGCGTTAACACGTTGTCTCCACCTAAAGGGGAACTCTTTCGCATTTGACAAGACGATGAGCTGTTGCATTGTTAAAAACATCTGAATTTTTCAATCTATCTATTTGTTGACTTTTAGAAACTAGGACACAAGTTCATTTTGATGTTTTATATACTACGTTAACGCTCAATTTTATCGTTGGTCATTTGCTTATTAAAAGTTTATATATGTTTATTCGGGATATAATTAATTAATGATGAAGGCATTATGATAAACCATTACGAGCAACATTTTCTATATATAAATAAGAGATATGGTGCCGGATTCCTGGCTTATTACGACAATGACTAAACCGTTCCCGTCCTGTCACTATATAAAACGAGCACTTATACTAAGCACGTAATGGATTTTTCGTGTCGTATCGCTTCCCCTTTAATTTTAATAACTGCGCAAATCTAAACAGGCATTCATCTAGGTAGCATTTTATAGACCTTTTTACGACGCGGTCCGTTGCTATGAAAAATTGACCGAAAGTAGTAGTTTTTCGCGCATGCGCAATTTGCGTAGGACAAAAGAGCCTTGCCCTACATAGAAATGTAGTATAACTTCATAGACAATTCGGAGTTAGTTTAAGGTAAAAATAGAAAATCATATAAAATAGCTTTTAATAGAAACACAAAAGATGTCTTTTTTTTGGCCAAGATTGGCCAAAAAGGGTACGGAAAGAGGATCTTTTAATAATTCCCCCTTACGATCACGGACCTGACATTGAAATTATTGTTGTTAAAAATGTTGAAATATATATATTAGCAAATAAAAAGTCAATTTAATTGTTGTTGAAATCGTCCATATAGAACTATTTATTATAACATATAATATATAACATAACACAGCGTTTAAAATCGAGGTTAATTATCATTCTGGAAAAAAGTCGGAACACGTGTTATAATGCATTTTAGTTTTCAGTTTAGCTAATTTAATCCTTTATCCGACTTGACTGAGATGCCAAACAAAATTTTAAGTCACATATATATTTAAATATTTTTTTTTTTAACTCTTGAGAAGTTAAGATGGGTGGTGGAATAACACATTTTGTCTGGTTCCTAGTAACACATGGAAATGCACGTCACGTACACTATTTGTCACTTCACAAAATCAATAAACATTGATGAGATTGGTATAAATGAAAGTTACTTAAATTACGATTAATCATTTTCATAGTTTTAAGAAATTAACTATGTCATGTTACTAAAACGATCCGGTTAAATGATAAACTAGTTGGCAAATGACAACCGGTCACGTGTCAACCTAGCTGTTTGACACTTACCGCCTTGCCAATCCACTTTCAAGGGAATATCAATTGTGTAATATTATGTAATACATGGGTAATAAAATGTGATATTTAACACCCTGCTGTTTTAAATTAAATTACTGATGAAAAAGTCACCTAATGATACCTTGAACAGAGGACTTTGGGTCCTTGAATTATAAGTCCCGCTAATTTTGTGTATCTGTTATAAATATCAATTCACGTTTTAAGTACTTACCGCTTCAATTCATCTTTCTGGGTGACATAACTTGAAATCACGCCTTTTAAAGCCTTTAAGTACACTAAAATGTATTCTATCTTTATTGAGCTTTTGCCCTACGCAGAATGCGCATGCGCGAAATGCAACATACGTTGCTATGGAAAAATCGTACTATAAAAAGGTCTATATTTACGCGTGCGTAAAGCATCGCTTGTTGTCACTGTTTACATCTATTTCAGAAACTTGCTGGGAAAAAAACCGAAAAAAAAACAACAAAACGTTAAAAAAAAAACAAACAAACAAAAAACAGCAAATAAAGGGAAAAAACACTCAAAGTTGATGTAATTACATTTGTCTTTATTCTGTTTAAGTTAAAAGAAAGGATTGTCAAGAAATAATCCCTTTTAAGCACATTCATGAGCAAGTCATAATAATAGGAAATGACAGGATAAAGTTTGTCTTTTTTATACTTGCATTTCCTATTTTATTTCCACAGTAACCGTCAAAACTTTAAAAAAAAAACTGTGGAGAAATGGAGAATTATCACAGCTAAACATAACCTCTTTGGTAATGAGAAATGAAAATGTAGTATTTTCAACTTTTGACAAAAATAAAATGACATCAATAAATATTATAAAATACAAATAATTGTAATAACAGATAATAATGTTTCTAAGTATTAAATATTGCCTCACTGGCAGTTTGATAATGAAGTATTTTTCACTTTTGACAAATATAAAATATAACAATAAATACAATAAACGAAAGAAATAAATTCCAGCCCTTAAAAAAATTCCCATAATATGATCATAGGAGTTTGAAATTCTATAAACACTGATCAATGAAATAAAAACCTATGATTATCATAATTATTACAGAGTTTTATGTATGATATTCCTAATTTACTGATAATCTGGTAAACTGCTAAATAGTAGCCTATCAAGTTCCCTGATAACTTACCTGCTCAAAGCTACAGTGGAGCAAAGGTGATATGTGTGTGTTTTTATTTATCTCGTGCGCACGAGTAACTAAGTCGTGGCCACGAGATAAATAGATAAATAAGTCGTGTGAACGAGATACTATGTCGTGGCCACGAATTACTAAGTCGTGGCCACGAGATAATTAAGTTGTTGGAACGAGATACCATGTCGTGGCCACGAGTTACTATGTCGTGGCCTCGAGTTACTAAGTCGTGGGCACGAGATAATCAAGTCGTTGGAACGAGATACTATGTCGTGGCCACGATTTACTAAGTCGTGGGCACAAGATAATTAAATTGTGGGAACGAGATACTATGTCGTGACCACGAGTTACTTAGAGATAAATAACCAATCAGATTGCACTATTGTAAGAGGGCTTGGTATAATGATCATCTCCTGTACAAAGATTCAACGACAATAATCAACACAAATATAGTTTATATTCCTTTTCCCTATATATCTAATACTATCCCGGATCCCAGGCGTCCCGGATCCTGGATCGAGGGATTTTCCCCCCATCCTAAATACCGGAAAGGATAAAATGACCGGAAAAAAATAAAAAGAAAAAAATGCACAGAACCAGATGTACATTTATGTTAATTAACCAAACGAAAACTTACTACAGAGAAAACAGGTGAAATCGCTAAATCAAAAGTCAGTGTAAATATGATTTATTGAAATAAACATTTTAATCATCATTATATATTTGCGCTCAAAGCAATACTTGCTGCTTTTTAAAAATGGCTCGAAAATTGAAGGTTTTTTGACGCTATGTAAGATTAAATTTGATTGGCTAAATAATTTTGGATTCCAGCCCTGACAGATAAATTTTGTAGAAAGCTGGAAGCCAAGCTTCGATTAAATTTTTGGATGGATTCGGAGTTTTAGGTTGTTTCTTAGTAAAATCCTATCGTAATACCGGCTCGCCGTGGCGAGCCGGCATCAATGGGGAAGAAAACCCCAGAAAGATTCACAGTGTATGTAGAACAGCTCCGTTTTAAGTCGTATGTGTTGTTGGGTTTCAATGATTATTGGTTATCATGTCAAGGAAAGCGTGTAGCCATTATTTATATAAATACATATTGATTATTTATATAAATACATATTGAGGATCTTGTTGAATTTATTAAACGAGTTTAAATTAAGTGATAAAATCCAAAGCTGTGCCGAATGTAAGATTCTTCTAATCACGATACATACTTTATATAGCACTGTATAGTATGTCACAGCATAAACCAAATATGCCTTTAAAAACAATAAAACAATATTTATTAGTAGTTGTACTTGACAACATGAAAAGATAAAGCTTCTTTGCTTATGATTGAGCAGACGAATTTTATCACTTACCCCCAACGCAGATTGCAAACGGATCCGATTGGACAAAAATAGTTTTTATTTACTTCCGCACACAAATGTAAACTTGTTTATAGGCATTGCATTTGTTTATCAAAATGGCTGAATCTAATCCGGAGACTGCTGAAGTGTCCGGGCGAAAAAAGGACATTCTGTGCCAACCGTGTTTAAACAAGGATAACCAAACGACAAAAGTCGCTGAAAAGTTTTGTTCAACTTGTGATGAATTTCAGTGTTTGGATTGTTCTAACGTTCACTACACACACGCCTTCTTAAGAAATCACAAGTTAGTGAACGCGAATGAGGCGAAAACGAAACAAGGCTCGTTTGATATGAAAGGATTAGACCAATGTGATCAACACCGGGAAATCGTAAAATTCTTCTGCGAAGATGAAAATCAGCTCTGCTGCAGCACCTGTGCTATTGCTGACCATCGTAAATGTCACAGCGTTGTTGAAATTCTAAAGGTCGCTGGAAGGTCAACCTATAGAAGTTCAACTTTAAAGGTTAAATTGGAGGAAGTGAGAGAGAAGGCTAACATTATCGTAAATAGCTTTGTCTCATCAAAAGAGAAACTAGACGAAGATGCTAAAGAAATACCAGTGAAAATCAGGCGAATGCGGGACGAAGTAATGGCAATGTTTGCCGAGTTGGAAATTTCCGTTGTTAAAGACATTAAATTGTTTCAGAAAGAGACATTAGAAAAGCTGACAATAAAGCAGTCACAGAACGAGAAATATCTAGCTGATATAACAAAGTTGCTGGAAACGATTGACAACGTGTATCAGAATGGATCTCTGGTACAACAGTTTATAGTAGAGCAGAAGTTGAAGAATGACGTCAATGTTCTTCACAAAAATGTCGATGCAGAATGTCAAGGTTTAGAGACCGTTACTGTAACCTTTGATTTTGATGAAACATTAAAACTTCCTCCGCTGCCAGTCACTGATTATGTACCAGGACAACTGACTCTGTCATTCTGTCTATCAGAGGTAGCCCAAACTATAGTTCCTGTTAACAAAGCAATGATACTATCACCAGTAAATTCCATTGATATAAAACAGAAAGATGATGATGAAGAAGAGCCATTATATACAGGGATTGATTTTTTACCTGATGGTAGACTTGTTGCTGTTGATAATAAAAATAAGAAATTCTTAGTTTACGATGAGAAGCTTGAGAAAGTAGGATCATATCAGTTATCTTACTATCCATACTCTGTTGTTGCTGTATCTGAGGATGAAGTAGCGATAACAAGTAGTGGTGCATTAAAGTTAAACATTCTACATGTAAACAAATCTAATGGTATAACTTTAGATAGAACAGTCAAAGTGACAACAGAATATGACGCGATATGTCAAAAAGATGATACATACTTTGTCGGCGGGACAAGTGATCATTCAACACCTATTCGTATGATATCATCTAAAGGAGAAGAGAAAGATTTCAGCATCAACTTCCCTAACAAGTCATATCCTTTAGGGACAAGTGCTTGTACTTACATAAGGAGCAGTGACAAAGTGGTACTTACAGATAGATACGATCATACAGTCTACATATATGACGTCAAGACAAACACGAGAGTCGTGGTGAAGGATGATCAGATAAAGGAACCACGTGGTGTAACAGTTGGTCCCTATGATACTATCCTGGTTTGTAGTATAAGAACAAACTCTATTGTACAGATATCACAAACAGGTCAGATCTTATCATCAAACAAGATAGATATGATATATCCCAGAACAATTTGTGTCTCAAGTGATAAATCATATCTTGCAATAAAAAACGCATGTATCGGTAAGAGAAAACTAAAGAAGTTTAAGATATTATATTGATGACATGGATTATTACATTATTATGATTAACAATTAATGAACCATGATAAGTCAACAGTGTAAATAACAATATCAAAAGTTGAGCATTCTTTTTTAATTTGTGCAACTTTATATTCTATAAATGAAAGGTCTGTTTTTTGAACAGGAATCAAAAAGAAATCAACATGTTGTTTATTACTGAAATATGTAGATATAATAAATCATTATCAATATTGTATATAAATTCATTAATTTGTATTAGTCTTATTATCATCTATGACATCTGACATTTTGAAATTTTCTTCCGCATTAGCATCACCCATTAATTGATTGTAAACATTTGAATATCATAATTAAATGGACAAATATTACATGTATCTCATCTTAAATACTGTCATTACCATGGAATCAGCTTGTATTACAGACATCAATGTTTTCATAAAGAACAGTTTCCAGACGAACCGGTACAACATAACTGAATTTTTTAAAATTTAATGTACTTATATACGCTAAAGTAATATTTCATTCAACAAAACATTCTGTTTTAAATTCAATATTGAATAGCTTTTTAGAGTGTAAACTGTATTATAAATGATTAATTTTGTATTACAAATGTAATGTATCTCAATGTTTGTACTAGTCAAAATAAAATTTCTATTATGTTTGTTTTCTTGTTTATCATTCGATAACTGTGCTTCTTTGGGGGCTTGAACTTAATTGAACCCTACATTTGATATCAATACATTAGATACATATTTCAAATATTCATATATTGATAGATCTGGTATATTACGCAATACATTCCCATGATTCCTAGGCATTCTAACATTGTCATTGCTAACGAACAATATTAACAATATTTAAGCTATTTTATTGTTAAAACAGTGAGAAAACGTTAAAAATACAATTTCATCTTAAATTAAAACTGATATCTTTCACATTAAAGATAAAAATGAAATTTTTTAACTCTTTTTCTCGTTTTAAATAACATTATATTTAAAGGCAGATGAATAAATCTAGCTGCACATCTTACTTTTGCGGAAAAATCACTTGAGATTGTACTTAAGTTATCACATCTTGATCCGGAAATTGTATTTCATAATTATTATCTCGTCTTCAAAACATTTGGTTTATGACCTTTTTTCTATCTCAACTAGTTTTTCATATCAATTACTTAAACATGATGTGTTTGTAGCACAAGTAAATTCTTTGGAACATACGATAATAGTAGTTACAAGAAAAGCATTGATGCAAAGCATCAAAGGGCGTCCAAGCAAGAAATGCAGCAAGAGAAGATAAACTAGTAGACATATGCTTATAATCTTTTCAATGGTCAATTGGTTTTTACCAGAATTGTATATCACTTATGAATGAGCGGACAAAAACATTGTTCATTGTGAACTTTGGTAAACATGCTACAGATTAGAATAATACTTTTTTTTTTATTCACAGGAACTTGAAATTTTATCAATATTAACGATAATATCCAAAATCTACAGTTCAATGATATTCAAAATTTACTCCCTATATGGTATACATTTATTTGCACTATATAGGGGTATTTTTGGATATTATCATTTATATATGTGATTTGATAGAATTTCAAGTTCATGTGGCATTTTCTTTGGAACATACAAATAGTAGTCAAACTCAATAGGGAAATCAGGGTCGATTTTAGAAAAAGAGACTTGAACAGCGAATAGGTTTTATAGTATACTAGTGCTAGACTTGTTAACTATCGCACAACGTCAAAAAAAGCGACATATAAGCTTGGTCGATTTAAATATTTACGGTAAAAATGTCAATCAGTGCAATCAGGGCCGTAAAAAAGAAAACCGGAAAGAACCTACGAAACAGACTTTTACAAAATAATAATACTATGACATAACAATTCGTAAAAATGGCATACTTATTTTTTCTATAGATTTAAAACGAATGCAATTAATTGTTTGAATAAGTTTTCATTTCCTTCCTTCAGAATTCTCGAGTTTGTTATTTATTTCCATAGCGCGACACGAATGACCGTCTCGTTCAACTAAAACTGCTTCTATAAATGGGATATACTATTCTCCGGTCCAGTTGCTTCCAGACTCCGGTCTCTCCCGATCTATTTTGAATTTTAAGAATTCAATTATCATATTGACCGACGATTAAAAGTAAAAATTAACTGGAAAAAATTAGTAAATTGTGGTTAATCTTTCAATATATTATATTGTTTATTCTTAAACCATGTACATGTACATTTGTATTTTTCTTTATCATTTTTTAAATTATCAATCAATTGAATAATTTATAAAATCTAATTTGTAACTTAAAATAATTCCTCAGGATCTTTACTAAACATGAATAACAAATTAAATAAAATGTTTCAAAGTTGATGGTGCCATATAAATACCATAAAATGTACCTTTTTACTCAATTATTGTACATATTTATTTTTTATAGTTTTTACCTCATATAAATAAAATGAAACATGCTATTGTTTTTTTTGTTGTTTTTTTCGAATTGTATGTTTATGAATAATATTAATCAATAAATTTGAGAGTTGATCTATGTTGATTAATAATTGTAACCAAACTAAGTGACAAACATTCATTTTGGGAAAAAAACTTATTTATCTGTAACGATATCAAACATCTAGACCGGACAATAAACGTGTGATACTATTCGCCAGTCTCAAGTAAATCCCGGTCAAAATAGGTCGGGAGAGACCGGGAATTACCAATAGGAGACCGGTACATCCTTCTATAAATAGATTTTCGGACTTTCACAATGTTAAGGTCATCATTCTATTTACAGCTTTCGGATACATGTACAACAATAACATACCATAATAACCCACTGTGTACTACAAAATGATACATAAAAAAACCCGAAGAGCGCGATTCATTAACGGAAAATATCTTTATTAAAAGCACATTGCGCCTCAGAATCAAATTAATGATTTGTCCTTTAGAAAAACAAAGATGAGTTTTGAAACGTTTAATGAATCTTTATTAGGCATGTTAGATGCTTATCATCTACGAAATAGCACTGTAAATTTTTTTTGCTATAAAAGTAGTGCAATATAAACAAAATAGTATTTTGACTGCCATGCAAAATAAGAAATAACTATGAACGTACTTATTTTCAAAATCCTGCAGAAAACACAAGATGGTTCTGAATATTGGCAAATGAGTAACTTTCAGGAAAGTGTATCATGACACCAAAAAATAGAAGCTTTTTGGAAATGAAAATAAAAGCAATTCTGGGGCATAATGGGCCTTTAAAAAGTTCTTACGATAAACGCTTTCTTGTTTTCACACCAATGGTGCTGAAATAATTAGATTGATAACAATATTCATATCTTAGTATGTAATGTAAGTAAAAAATAGAATCATATCAGTTTTGATATGGATCGATTTGCCAATAAAAATAAATCATCGATTCATTTGCCAAAGTAATTGAAACATTTAACCTACTGAATTTTTTTCATTAACTATTATAATTCAAAATGAAAATCAATGTATTTGATAAACAAGGGAGAAATTATTTTAATTAAAGCTAAATGTTATCTATTATATAGAGGATATTTGTTTGTTTGTGTGTAAGATGAAATTTTATTTCATCGCCACTCGTGAGAATACTGTTTTTAAAGTTCACGAGATGAAATAAAATTACATCTTACACAACAAACAGACAAATTTTCTTTTTATTTTATGCTTAAAAACAAGTTAAAACGAAATTTCCATAATTTTAACGTTAATATTAAAATCTGTTTCCCCCATTGAGAGCCCCATTTAGACGGAATTTCTCATTTAAAACAAGAAGTCTTGAGCTGAAAAAAATAAGTCCGCCAATCAAGGTTAAATGACGGTGATATTTATTCATTTTATTAAAAAAAATATGAATGATCGCTTGTTTTAATAATAAAGACAAACAATTCTTGCAGGAGAAAATTCCAACCATCCATCCAAATTTCTGTTACTTACTGCGAATTTATATTAGACCTGGCTTTCTAAAATGTAAACGGCAGCCATTTTTTAAAGTTGTGTATTTCATGGGAGGAAAATAATTGTGTAAGATTCAGAAGGATATAATTTGGATTTGTTAGTCATACACCTTTTTAAAAGAAAGAAAACTTATTTGAGGATTGTAACAGACAAAAAATAAGTGTTGACAGAAGTGAAAACATTCAGAAAAGGAGCTAGGAAAATGGAAAACTTGGAAGCTTGCTGAAGGAACGCTGGGTTGTTTTACTTATTTTACGAGTGATGGCTGTCAATGCTTTTCAATTTTTCATAAAGCATACGGCAGTTATTGCTCGTAGGATACTTTAATCTGCCCATATGTCATCAAGAGCAGTTTTGCATGGGGAAGGAATGTATTTTTCAGACTGTAAAAACGAAACAAAAAAAAATTAGAGACGAAATTTGGTGATTGGAATTTGAAGGAATAGAAGTAAGTTTTCTCTCTGTGTTACTTTTGACATTTAAGTTATTTATCTATTTCAGCTTTGCTATTTCTTTTAACAGCCTGACATTGTCAGAATTGTCAGTAAAAATAAAATTGAGGTACCACATGGGGAAAATCTTAAAAAAGTAGTTTCGTCATTGAAAAAAGTGAAATTATATTTTGATAATTTTCACTGTGAAATTATCAAATATAATTTTCACGGATAAATCAGTAATCCACTGAAAAGCATAAAATAAATAGGGTTAACGTACGTTTCTCTGTGTTATAACGTCTGCAGAGTCCCGGTAGGGCGAGGGCTACAACAATTCCGAGGGACTCTGCAGTCTTTATAACACGAAATAAACGTGCGTTGACACTATCATAGCATTAAATTTTAAAACAGATTCATCATGTATATTTAATACGAAATACATAGTATTACATTAAATCCTTGTGCTTGGACGGTATTTATCCAATTCTACATGATTTACGTATGCGTTTTATTTTTCCGGGGCCAACAACTTGGGGAATATAAATGCTAAGAACGGAACGAAATTATAATAGCTATTGTCATATATTGTCATATGACTGTTAAAGTAATAAATGCATCATTTAACTTACAGAGGAAATCAAGCTATTTTTCCTTGACATGATGACAAAAAAACGAACATTTTACATTATTAGCATGGAATGACACACGTTTTGCTCGAATTCGCTAAATAATCTCATGAATAAATTTAGAGGATTGTCCTTGTACTTAATGGTTTCTAGAAGATAGTGTCCTGATAATCCACCAGAGCATGATTGAAGTATATTAGTATGATGGGAAGTGTGTTTGACCTCTGACATAACCACCACAGACCGTCATTATACAAGAGATCATTTTAAAAAGTTATAAACAGAGAAGTGATATTTTGAAAGCAGTAGCAATAAAGATATAATTTACATGTATATTTAGTGTTTAGTTTGAATATGTTGATTAACAAACATAGAATGAGATAAACAAAACGGGATTCTTTGTCAAATCTATGTCTTGAACCAGGTGACAGACTATTATTAGTTAAATTTCAAATAAAAACAAGGCGGGGGTTCTTCATTCGGTCATTTACCATTGCATGGAATCGTTATCGTCGACACTAATTTTCTTCAACACATCGGTTAAAATACACTCACGGGACTCTGCGCAACATGCGATTACCTTATATATTGTATTGTTTATTTACTTATGAC